CATCCAACATAATACTATAAGAAAATGACTGACAGTGGTGGGAAACTATGGGGGGGGGGAGATGGGATTAAGGGTAGTAAATATCTGTCTGTAGATGGGGAGACACCTCTTATCAACAAGGGTGCCTGAATGAAGCATATTTGTATACCTAACCCTTAACCCCACAATATCATAATAAAAAATATTGACTATAAAAAAAAAAGAAATTGGAAGAAAAAGGCCAGGTGCGGTGACTTACACCTATAACTCAGCACTTTGGGAGGTTGAGATGGGAAGATTGACTGAGCCCACGGGTTTGAGACCAGCATGGGCAACATGGCGAGACCTCATCTCTACAGTAAATCAAAAAATTAGCCTCATCTCTACAGTAAATCAAAAAATTAGCCAGGTAGCGTGTGCCTGTAGTTCCAGCTACTAGGAAGGCTGAGATGGAAGGATCACCTGAGCCCAGCAGGTCGAGGCTGCGGTGGCCGTGAGCAGTAGTGCCACTGCACTCGGCCTGGGTGACACAGTGAGATTCCAACTCAAAAAAAAAAAAAAGAAATTAGAAGGAAAAAAACAGATAAATATTGGCTTCCTGTGTGATGAAACAAGTTGACCAACACTAGGACTACAGGTGACATTTTTCCTCATATGCAAGAGAAAAAAAAAGCCACAAGCCAAAATCCACATAAGAGGGTAGAAAATGAAACTAGGTCCCCATATAGAATCAAAAATAGAATCGAATACTATGTGTGACCTGAATTCTGCCATATCAGGTAAAGTCCATGCCCCACCACTGGTCTCTCAATCTCACCTGGCTGTTAACTATACAGAGATAACATCCAAGAAACATGTAAACATTACTATGTCAATCTTGACCATTCAGAAAACCTGTATGCCCCTGTCATGACGAGCCCCACCATCACCTTGTTACAGTGTCTACAAGCAGATCTGAAGGTTTCAGAAAAATGAGCCAAGGAGGGAAATAGAGACTCACTAACAACAACCTAAAGAGTTTTGTGCTTTCTGACTTCATTCAGCTCATATTGCAATTCATCCTGAAAAATGAAAGAGGTTAACTTGTCCTTTGTGGTGTCAGCAAGGAGGATCAATTTCAAACTCTAGCTAGGTTGCTCACAAAATTTCCAAAGATCAAGACCGCCTCACTGGATGGTGTGTACACAGTAGTCCCCCTGGTGGATCATATGGTCCAAATGTCTTAATACCAAAACAGAAATATCACAGTACTCACTTTTAACTTCTTGTTTAGTTTACAGCAATATCTGTACACCATTGCCAAGTTCAGAGGGCCGAAATCTGCATAGAAACTAAGGCATAAGAAAAATAGACAAAAAATGGTAGTATTTAGTATAATGTTCGGTAACATCAATGCTCGTTTTCAATTTCATTACATTTGCAATCAAATTTCAATCATCCTCAGGAATAAGGGTCATCACATAACTGATCTGACTCTTAGTAATCCACATAACTGACAGTTTCACCCTCCTGACACCCTCCAGCTACCCTAACTACCTCCTAACCAGGAGGGAGCTGGGCAGTGTTGAGTTCCACCCCTTTGTCTCCCTGCCAGGCCATTTAAGTGAAAGTCCTGAAAAGCAGGCGAGGAGGTAGCCAACATGAATATGACCTGCACATAGCCTATGCCATGTGCTTTTATTTCCCTGTCACCCACGTCAGTCATAAATTTAGCTCATGCACTTTGGGCTCCAATTGCAACAATTCCACTCGAACGTGGCTCTCAATTCTCAAGTGTCTTCAACCCAGTGGCCTTTCTCAGTTTCCATTCCTCTTGAACTCTATCATAAGACAGGGCTGCTCCTCGTCTCTATCCAGGACACAGTCATCGATCTGGAGACCTTCCTCTTAGCCACTGTCATATTTCACGGACAGCCCTACAGAAGAGCGATGTTTCCTCCACATGAGAACCAGCCTCAGGCCCCATCTCAGCTGTCTGCTGGATCCACCATCACCAGGCCCTTCTAGAACTCGGAATATCTAAGACTCAACCCATCTTTCCTTGAATCCAGTCCTTCAGATTAAAATAACATTCGGCTTCTTCCAGTCACGCAAGCATGAAACCTCTTGATCACAATAGGCCAACAGATAAATCTTTAATTCTGATAGCTCAAATAAGCGACTACTCTGACTCACCCCTTTCTTTTCCGCTCCCACTTGGCCAACAGAGGCCAGATTCTTCTCATCTCATGCATGTACACTTTAAATTCCCTACCCCCTTCCCAAACATTCCAAATCCCACCACCGAGATTAATCGCCACAAAATCTCACCTCTCGCATACTCCCACTATCAGAGGCATTTAATGGATTCTTAATGCCATCAGAATAATTCCCAGCCATCAAAGTATTGTATGACATTGCCCTGGCTTCTAGGCTGGGCTCCTCTTCCAAGGTCCCATAGGACGTCTTCATTCCATCAAAGGTCTATTCCTTATCCCCAAAACTCCAGCATATACTTAATCCTCGCATCTCCTCACACTGGTCTCCTGCCTAGAGGGCCCTCTTTTCTCCTTCTGCCATGTTCCAGCTTCCTTAAAATCCAGTTAAAATCCTACCTTTTCATGAAGCCTTCCCAATCACCCTAGGGAACACTGTCCTCTCAAAGTTCTCAACACTCACCGCCCACATCACTTTCTGGTCTACAACACACACTGTAAATCATGTCAGGCATAACTTCTACTTGCTGAACTCCAGCGTAAGCCACCCTGTCAGAGACTACAGCATTGACCTGTGCTTAGAAGAATGCTCTGCCCGCAACACAAAACACCAAGAAATGAGTATCTGTTATGAATATGTTACTCGTTAAGGCTCTAAAATCAGTTTAGACTAGGCCACAAATTTACTAAATATCACAAGTTTCCCAAAACCCAGGCCCGTAAGACCTTTATTTTGAGGAAGTCATTTGGTTTAACTTCTTCCTGCCACCCAAACTGCACTATCATAACTATATCATTACATCACATAAAATCTGCCAATGGCCACGGGGCTTAGATAAACAGAGAAGACTGAACTTGTATATTTAACCCATGGTAGGCAAATTGGTAATATTCTAGAACTTACATTCCAGGCAGCACCAAAATTAGCAGTCCCTGTACCCAGAAGGGCACACAAAGAAGAACACAGAGGTGCCAAAGAAGGAGACCGGCAGGAACTTGAAGTAAAAGTTCATGATTTGCTCCCAAAGTTCCCAGTATTGTCTCTTACTGTACACACGCACCAGATGACCCATGAATCCAAAACAAACACTCTCTATGGTCCAGTTGCTGACCAATCCAAGACAAGCCAATAGAAACTCACTCAAAAGAACTAACAGGAAAAAAAAAAAACCCACAGGACTGCCTCAACTCATCACACTTCACACTCCCAAGCGCACAGAGATTGTGTTTTTTGACAACTGGAAGGTTTGTGGCAGCCCTGCACCAGGCAAGACCATCGGTTCCACCTCACCAACAGCACATGCCCACTTTGTGTCTCTCACATTGTGGGAATTCTCATAATGCTTCCAAGTTCTCATTATTAATTCTACCTGCTATGGTGGTCAGTGATCAGTGTCATTGTTTGAGGCCGCCACACACCACACAGCGTAAGGTGGTAAATTTGATCAAGTGCCATGAATGAGGTACAGCTAAAATGTTTGCAGACAATGAATATCCGTTCCCTTCAAGAGCCCACGTGTTTCCCAGCAGAGAGATTAGGCCCTGGAGATTTGTATCCCCTTTTGTTCAAGAGGGTCATAGTTCCAGAAAGCCAGTTGGGACTTAGAACAGGAGAGGGTGGGAAAACAGGAGAGAATCTAATCTGCACCTTTCTTCACTGTCCCTCAAAAAGACAGGTTGCCACCAGAGCACTGGCTGTCCCAAGCCAGCTGCAGTGAAGACAGTAGGCCTCTCTCGGCCACAGGTTAAAGGTGAAAAAAACAGGCACTCCTACCCAGAGAACTCCCCACCCCACAACTCCTCAAAGTCAATGGGCCAGCCTTCATATCCCACAAAAAGAAGGACGCAGACAGGCACAGTGGCACATGTCTGTGGTCCCAACTATTTGGGAGGCTGAGGCAGGAGGATCACTTGAACTCGCTGGAAGTTGCAGCAGCCGTGAGTGCTCCAGCCTGGGCAATAGAGTGAGACTTTGACTTAAAAAAAAGTGTAAATAGCTCATTCTTTCCAGTTTTCACTGTTACATATCAGAAGCTTCATGTGAAAACTTTCAACTCCTCAGCCAAACAATATGCTTACATTCCAAGCATTTCCCATTCATTCAACAAAAGTTATGCCCACCTGCTCTGAACAAGGCCCTGCAATTTAGCAATTAATCACAGAGCACTTGCAATACAAATAAACAAAAAAAACCTGCTTTATAAATTCTGGAAGTTTATACAAGGTATGCCAATCTTTTGCTATTTTCCCAGCACCACTGACATTGTTTATTCATTCACTTGCTCACTTGACTATTTACTACTGACCCCCAGTCCTTACCCACTTACTGGAAAGACGAGTTAAGATATGATTACAGTGTGATTAATACTGAGATAGCATCATCCCCTAAGCACGGTGAGAGTGTGTGTGTGCATGTGTGTAATTAATCAACACTGCCTCTGGGCTGCACACCTACCTCTCATTTTCCCTGTCGCTAGAATACTATCAACGTCCACCCCCATGAGATGGCAACGCTCCCATCCATGGCTGAAACTCATAATGATCCCATTTCAAAAAGGTCCTTCCTGCTCTGTGAGCACCAGCCCGAGAGGCCACACATGTGAGCTTTTACTCAAGGCCTCCAGCGTACCGCCTACAGTCATGCTGACACCAGCTTCACAGGAGAGAGCAGCCCGCCCAACATCCTTTCCATGTGAGCAGGCATCTTGATGTGAAACCAAAGACCGCTGGGACTTGAGAGGGCCAGACTCCAGTCTGGTCACTCGGTGTCCCTGATCTGGTGTCTTAGAGTCTCTTGGACTCCATGTCCTCGTCTATCAAACGAAGCCACTGACTTAGATGATGCCTAAAGTTCCTTCCAGCTACCGATTCACATCATTGATAACCACTAGAGCCACTCTGTATACACTGTAGCATCTTCAGAGTCTATGACTCCAGGTATCTTTATTGGATAAACCCATTCAAGGGCTCAAATGTTTCTCAAGGGTCACTCGCCCCACTGGACGCACCCCGTCCTCCCAGTGTGCTAGGGCTGGGCATCTCCTTGGGGACAGGAAAGGACATCACTTGCTCCCTAAAGTCCGTCACACTTTCTGGAGGGTCAGAAAGCCAACTCTCAGGCGAGACGGTGGCTCCGTGTGGGGAACCTTGGCCTCACTATTACTTATCTGTGAAAAGCTTGACTGTTGGGATCAAGAAGAAAGGAGCACACAGAAACGTTTACAAAATTATTTATCACATCATTATTGGTAACAATAAATACTAGAAACATGTAAATATTAAATTAAAAAGGGAACAAATTAAATCCATGTAGTACTACCTGATGGTACTATTCTGGTATTCCATAGTATGGAATTCCATAGTCTAAAAGAAGAACGCCATGTATAGCATAGAACAACCTCCAAGACCCACAGTTTTATGAAGAAATCAAATTGCGAGAAAATGCATACAAGATCATTTCATTTATAGAAAAGTCCACAAAGCATAGAAGATTTATATTACTATCTGTTTTAAATATACGAAAATGTCTACTAAAATCTAAGAGGAAAAAAAGAAGAAGAAAGGAGAGAACCCCAGTATAGTCCTCACTCCTGGCCTTTGAGGCAAGGATCTAGGTGTTCAAAAAAGCCCAGGTTTACAATACCAGTGTGTAAGGAACCCTCCTCTCTTACTGCCCTCTTAACCTGAGGCAAGGAGCAGGGTCAGGCAAGGTTCCAGCTGCTGCTTCTATAAAATGAGTGAGGGCTGTCACTTTGCCTTAAAGAGGACACATGGCATCAAGGAACCTTCCAGCATCAAGGTCTATAATTCTGTGACACCCCTCCTTAGAGAGTGTCAATTAATGAAAACCCCCGTAGGGACGCAGTTCATGAAAACAAGAGGAGCTTCTCAGGAATGCACCAGGAAGACTAAAACTCACTCCCACAGAATATTCTCCAGCAGCGTGATGAGGCCGCATTATCCGGGCAGACAGCACACACACGGTGCCATCAGCAAACAGGAAGGGCTCACCCCACACCTAAAAGAGGGACCCTCAGGTTTTCTAAAGTGGCCAGGGGCCCTGAGCAGGAAAAGAATGACTCCGAAGCTTACAGTGATGATCCCATGACCTCTCTAAGCTCTTGAGGTTGAAACCA